CTGGGCAGACGAAGTACGCCAGTGGATCGAACATCTCGTACAGCTGTATTTTCAATCCTAATGACTCTCCCTGCGGTAGCCACCACCGCTACCCCGTGCCGATCCTGCGGCTGATAACAAGCGACCCGCCCGCATTGGCCCACAGCACTCTGGATTTCAAACGCCAGTTCGGTCCGGTCATCGTTAGACCGACGGACGCTAGTTACTTGCCTCCTCCTGGATGTCAGGCCCTAGCTTTAATGGGATCCCAGGGGCGTGTATACAAGGAAATAGCGGTTGAGGGTTGATAACGGGAGTATTTGTAAGAAGTCAAAAGTAAAAATAGGTGATAAGGTTGTGGTGAGGTCGTCACTAGACCGACAGACTGGTTACGTCTTCCTTGACGCTAGGCCATCGATTCAACAAGCGCGGATCCAGGATCAGGTCTAAGGAGGGGCAAGTAGTGCGGGTTGCCTACTTATATATAGGCGATATAAACTTTCATCTGAAAGTAATTTTTTTGATGTGACAATGGCGACTCCTGTTGGGTGCCAGGGCATCGCCTATCGGGAGGGGCGAGTACACAAGAATATAGGGGCGGAGATAATTATTTGGCTCACATGCGTGTATGGATGACTTACAATTAGAAATATCACTGATGGAGTTTGCCTCTATCCGACAAACACCACAAATGACACACGCATACAAGTTACATTTACGAGGGCGGTTCAATAAGTACCGTGTTTGACGACAGAGGGCGTTCCTGAGGGAAGTTAATGTTATCATCGTTTGCTGCCATCTATCAGACGACGACGCAATAAATTTTAGACTGATTGATAGGTTAGTTTGGATTTGGCAGCCATTCGAGTAACACGTGTTTCGTGATTTTCGATAAGATGGAAAAAGAGCAGTATCGCTCGGTAATTCGCTGGATGGGAAAAAATGCGAGGAGATAAAAGCAAAGTTGGATGCTGTTTATGGAGGCACTTCGCCAACTATGACCACAGTTAGACATTGGTTCAACGTGGTTACCTGCAAGTCTATCTCTGTACCTCAGAGCCAGACTAGGTCAAGTCCATTTTTATCAAAAATGAGTTTTATGTATTAAGCTTATCATAATATTGTGAATTTTCATTTAATACTTGAAGCGCCTATCTACCTGTAATAATAAGGAGATTTTTTTTAAATTATGTTAAATAATAATAATATTACAGGTAATTACAAGAGATGTTGCATAACTAAATAATTACAGATGCAGGACGAATTTTTGCAATTGTATAACTAACGCGGTTTTTGTAACAGGACCTCAGGACTTTGCTTTATGCGGATCGCTGATTCGTGTTTAAAAATAAGTATGAAAATTTATACGAAATATTGCGTTAATGAGATCACAGAGACGTGTATATAAGGAAATTGATACCCTTAAAGGTAATTTCAAGAATTGAAAAAATCTGGTAACTCGTGAACGGTTAACAAGACATTGAGCAATGCGGGTGAATCCTGAAAGTACTCTACATGCAAAAGCCTGGATGAGACAGGCGATCTGGCCATATTGGACAACTGCAGCTTTGATTTCAAACGATAACTCTTCCATATAATCGCAAAGTCGTATGTCTATGGAAATAGGAGCTGCAAGTTGTTTATTAATATATGAGGATACACAAAAAAAGATAAGAGTCAGCGAAAGTGCTGAATACCGCTTAAAAATCAAAAGCTCTACCAGCAGAAGGCTATGCTGAAAGATAAAAGTTAAGGCGTGGACGGGCAGTCACAGTTCAAATTGTCGACAAAAAAACTTGTAAGTCTGTCAGGTCTGGTAACCCAGACATCAAACAATTTTAAGGAAAAAAAGGAAGGAAAGGAGAGAAGGAAGAACGAGAGCAAAGGGGAAGAAGAGAATCTTTTAGGATAGGCAGCGTTTAGGCATTGTTAAAATCACTTCACAGATTTTGATACGGTCTAAAAATATTGTTTCTTTTCTAAAGATTTTGTCAAAATGATCCAATTTTGGTTGTTCTAAGTTCACGAATTAATTATGATTACAGTGCGAGCCGCGGCCTGTTCTGCTTGCGAACTTGCTCGACTGTGTCGTTCACTGACTCGCGCAAAAGAGGGTTGCTGTGCGATTCCGTTAGGCTATAGCGCCACTGCGCCTGTTGGTTAATGTAGTCCTTTAGGTAAGGGACATCGAAGTCTCTATGCAGAGTTTCGTTAGAGACATACCATGGGGCGTCAGCAATAGTGCGTACCTGCATATTCCACATGTGTGTTTTGGCAATACAACACCAAGCCGCACATGCGTAAGTCATTGCTGGTCTTATGACCACCTTATCGAGTCGAATCTTGTTAATCAAAATTAATTTTCAACGTTTACATAATAATGGTTAAAGCTAATTTGGAATTAAGTTTTTAGCGCTTCTATATGATTCCGCCAAGTCATCCCTTTGTCCAGAATGACACCGAGATACTTAGCGGAGGATTCCCATGGTATAACCAAGTCCATTCATTGACACTTCAGAAGGAACGCCGCGCCGTTGTTTTGTACAGTAGATTGCCTGCGTTTTCGAGTGGTTAATTTTAATTAGCCACCGATCCGCCCAATATAATACTTCCTCCACTGCACTTTGCAGCCTGTCATGGACTAGGTCACCAGACCACGACTGAGTCACCAATGCAGTATCGTCAGCATAGAGATAGACTTCACAGCTGCTGGGGCTAGGGACGACATGAATGTACAGTTAGTAAAGGGTAGGTCCAACGACCGAACCCTGAGGGACGCCGAGTGTAATCAGCCGTGTTGTAGACAGGACATTGTCAATTTTGATCCGAAATTTCCTACCTTCAAGGAAGGATATCAGTAGTTTTATAAGCCAAAAAGGGAAGCCCTTTTGGATTAGCTTATACAGGAGACCCGCGTGCCACACCTTGTCAAATGCTTTTGAGACATCCAAAAGCAAGATGCCAGTACTTTCGTTAAGGGTAAATCCTCTGGTTACTCGTTCCACCAGTCTAACCGCCTGTAGCTCCGTACTATGTTCAGACCGAAAACCGAATTGCACGTCAGGAATATCATGGTGATCCGAAGAGAAATTCTCAAGGTGACGTAGAATCACCTTTTCAGCGAGCTTAGATGGAACTGATAGCAGACTAACGGGACGATAATCCTGGGGAATTATCGAACACACCTTCTTTGGAATTATTATAACTTCAGCGTTCGTCCACGCGAATCGGAAGTACTGGGTCTTTAGCATAGCATTGACTATTGACAGGAGATAAGGACTTCTGCGCCTTATTAGTGATTTGAACCTTCCCGGGTACTTTACGCACTTTAATATGACCTTGCATCTCTGCTTGTGGGCAATGCGGGATCTCGGGAGATTCTGCTGATGTTCTAAGCAGATCTTAGGTTGAAGAAGCTTCTGAAGAAGAATCTTCTGATGAAGAAAAATCACCAACGGTGGCGCGACTGTCACTGACGCCGTTGGACCTAAAATATCTCCTCACTGTCTTTCCATGGCATCGGCGAAAACCTCAACCTTTTCTTCTGTCCTGAAGACGATGCCTCCAGGGCCGAACTCCACGGCAATTATACTGTTTTTAGCTTTATTTGCGAGAGATTGTTTATTTTCAGGAGTCCTATTGACCCTAAAAATGCATAATTCCATACGCCCTTATACCGTTATATTATATTCGGCCCACCCCGTATCTAGAGCTGTCTGTCTGCCCATACGAGAGACGCGATGAATCACAGCTCACAGCTTTTAAGCAAATTGATTTCAAAAAGCACTTTACTACTATGAGTATACGTCGCGCTCGCTCGCGAGCTGCTTTTAGCGTTGCGGTTAATGTAAAACGGATGCTAGCCATCAGCTGAGTGAATTTGCATTTAACTGCTGCTGCGATTGCGTTAATTTATCCACATCGAATGGCTTTTTAAGATCTAATGCACGCAATAATGGATAGAACGAACGCTTATGACGCAATACTGGAGGAGAGCGCGCCATTCGTTTAAGGGTGTTTGCCAATCACTGCTGTATAAAGAAGCTAGGTGTGTCATTCCAAGGGTAATATTATATCTGATAGACTGGCAAAAAAAGACTGCTCATACAAAAATTCTAAGCCCAGAGCCCACATCGAAGCTGTCACAATTGAGCTAAGAATATGTGGGATTATAATGTTGAGCTGCTCGTTGGCTGAGGAATAAATTCCTCAGCTTTCCTAATGAGATAGTAGTAAAGACATTACCTGTAGTTGTCCAGAGAACAACTTCGGCTTGCCATAGATATTGCGACCGGACACTGGAAGCTAAAGAAACATCAACAACAACTCTGTAACATGAGATTGAGTGACATATCCTTATGTAGAGGCTGTGAACGCGATGATGGGACCGGCAAGCACATCCTAGAATGATAGGGGTCCTACCAATCCTAGAATTCAGTCTGGAGGAATGTTGGCCTTTGTTGGCCTTTTTGGCCAGCGTAAAGGAAATTACACCTTCCTCCTATACAGAATATGGAATACGTATCATGAAACCTGTCATGCCGACCGTTCTGTATCATTTTGGACTCCTTCATAAGCGTAGTTCTTATTTTTAAGAGAACTTCATCTACATTAAAAATATTTTATATCGCAGACGTTTTCTTTAAACCTCTTAAAAGAAAAAAAAGGTGAAATGATGTAGAGCAGTAGAGCAGTAGGCAGCTGCTTCTCGCGCTATCAATCAGAACCTACTGCCTTGTCCAGAAGTATTGAGCACCCCGAAAATATTTCACGTACGCTATAATGATAGACGAAAAGAAAAACTAATGGTTATACAAATATTTGTAGGTATCAAAACCGGTTTGTAAATAATTTCTTATCTCCTTACTTTCGTTAAAACACGTAGTTTTTTGGAGACTAGTCAGTTTTACCTTTTTAGTGCGTGTTCATCAGTTTGATGCTATCGCTCATTGTGAACAGTCAAGTGATTTAGTGCAATATTGATGATTTTATTTCGAGAATCTGAGTTCAACTCTTGTAATATGGCAAAAACGAATGAACTGAGCATTGAAAAACGTGCGAAAATACAGGTTCTCCATGAACAAGGGAAGTCCCAAGTAGACATTGCAAAAACAGTGAAGTGCTCGCGTCGATGTGTACAATACACTATCCAGCGATTCTCTCAGACCAGTTCACATAAAGATAGGCCTAGATCTGGCCGCAAACGGATCACTACAGATCGCGAAGACCGAATATTGACGAGAGAATCTTTGAAAAATCGGAAAAAAACTTCTTTGGTCCTCGCTGCCGAACTATCAGAGCAAATTAATAGACCGATTTCTACTCGAACTGTTCGCCGAAGGCTTCAAGAAGTTGGTCTAAATGGCCGCAAAGCTAGAAAGAAGCCATGGCTCTCAGACAAAAACAAAAAGGCTCGATATAAATGGGCTTTAAAATACAAAAGCTTCACTGAAGAGGATTGGTCAAATATTGTATGGTCAGACGAATCAAACTTTGAGGTACGTTGGTTAATTTGATGCAGTAACGAGGTGTAACAATAATTTTTGAAACAAAATGACAAGAAGAAAATATTCAACTAAGCAACTACTTAATGACATTTCTTCATTTTTCAGATTTTTGGTACACCTGGTGTGACATTTGTTCGTCGTCGAGTAGGAGAAGAATTCAATCAGGAGTGTGTGGTGCCTACTTTGAAACATGGTGGCGGTAGCGTAATGGTCTGGGGCTGCATGAGTGCTTCAGGAGTGGGAGAAATGTTCGTGTGTGAGGGTCGCATGGATGCCACAAAGTACATAAACGTACTCGAAAATGCTCTTTTGCCGTCGTTTACTGCACTTTATGGCGATACCAACATGAATGGCGTCAAATTTCAGCAGGACAATGCGCCTTGCCATAAAGCTGCACGGACAATGGCTTGGTTCAGAGAAAACTGCATCGAGCTTCTGGATTGGCCAGCCCAGTCACCAGACTTGAACCCGATTGAACATTTGTGGGGCTTATTGAAGCGCAAGATCAGGCGTCATACATTCAAGAATAAAGAAGACCTGAAGCGCCGTCTACGTGAGGAATGGAACGCTTTAACTTACGAAGAATGTAATAAACTTGTACGATCTTTACCTAAAAGAATTTCTGCCGTGATTAAGGCGAAGGGTGGTACCACAAAATATTGATTTTCTTTCAATACTAAGCCATATAAAGCTAGAAAAAATTGTGTGAATTTCTCCCAACTTAATGGTCCCCTAGAATTTAAAGATATCGAGCGTGCTCAATACTTTTGGCCAAGGCTCTGGTTTCAATTAACCCATGACGTGATGCCTAGGCAAAGTTATGCCGTGAGCCTTAATTTTGGAATAGAATTAAATGAAGTACAACAGGTAATCCTGATTAGGTTCTTTATCATCGAGCTTGCATGCGCAACGACTGCTACGTTGGAGGTCCTTCTATCCAGAGCAATATACTTTCGATGACCCACATACTGACTGAAGGCGAATCATCTATCAATCAGCAACACGGAAAAGATCAAAGGTCACTGTACACGGACTTGAAGGCAGATCCTATATTTGTAACGCACGATGGGCCTTACGTACAATTTCGATAAAACCTATCAAATACTACTACCAGAAAGAAAGTATTGAGAAAAAGCTAAAACATACAGACAGACGGTTAGAAAACTCAAGACGGGATAAGGTCAATAATTTAAATCTCAAGGTACAGTTTCAGGCTGAAGTAACTGCTATACAACACCTAATAAGGAAGGATACTGCAAATCAGACGCTCTAAAAAGATGAGACACGGGACACCGAGGGCACAGGGAAAATGAGCAGGCAGATGAACTAGCCCAAAAATATGCGGCTATAGGTCTGAGGCCTCAAAGAATACGCATAACAGTCCATAAAAGATTGGACCACGAAACAGTTCCTTGAACGGTAAAACGGCCAGTTACAGCAAATATGGCAAACAAGTTCATCAGAGAAAGAAATCCTGCGTTTAAAGAGGATCTGCTTGGATTTAATAGGAAGGCCATAAGGACTTTAGTGGGTCTCAGTGTCATCTAGATCGACATATGACGCTCTTGAGTTTAGCAGAAGAAGTCACATGCCGGTTTTGGAGAGAACATAAGGAAACCCCTGTACAATCTCTTGTGTCACTGCGAACTCCTGGCAAGGCCAAGGACCATAGAAAAGCTTTGTGTCAAGGTAATTGCATCTGATTTAAAGATAAAGTCCTTCAGATAGAGCCACATAGATTGCACTGGCATATAGGCTCGCAAAGTGCGGAACCGTTTACTGGAATCTGTAATTGTCGACCAATAGTCAACAGCATTTGATTGTTAGGGTACTATATTAATGGGATCAAAGCTTAACCGGCTCTAACCATTCCAGAGTTCGAGAAGCCTAATAGGGAAAGCATAGAGCTATGAGTACTTGTATGAAGTATGAAAATGGAATATATGTGTGTTTATGACTTTAGTTCTCTATTGATACATGTTTAAATCATTCTGCCTGACCAAACTCCCGTAAATAACATTTACAGGCTATCCTCTCTTTGTTGACTGGACTAAATAGTAGTAAGCTTGCAATCTCGAAAAAATCCGTGTCCGTATGAGCGTTAGAGTGCCATCGACACAAAGTAAGCGTTCGTTTTGAAAGGCTCTTCCGACCCGTGGAAGTTCGGTGGAAGTTCGCCGGCAACTCTCCTGGCCGAACCGGTATCACGAGAGCGCGAGAGCGTCCATTATAAAGTTTTCACGAGAAATTTAAATACACTTTACGGATTACTCTTATTGTTCTTAGAGCCGCTCGGCTGCCGGCTTGTACGCCGTCCTAGACCGGGCGGTAAAAGCATCCATCCACTCCGAGTAGAACAGGACGGGAACGTCGCTAACGTGCTCAGGGTCGGATCCATGAAGAACATCGTTGTATAAGAAGTGACACTGTTTTTAGATAACTCTTCATGGGTGACTGGTACATTCCCAGTATGTCCATCCGGAGGACCTGTAAAAACGTGGAGGAAATTTCGGAGTCCTATACAAATTCATGCATTCTGTAAGTCTAACCCAGAGTTTCCCAAACTTTTTTGTGTCGTAGACACACTTCCGTGTTGGGTAGACCCCCAACTTACCTGATATTGATTTCCTGTAAATTTCTAACTGTAGTGAAGTGTAGTGTTAAAAACTTAAAGTAAAAACACATGTTAATTTACACATTTATTAATTGAATTTAAATTAAAACTACTCAAAATAAAATTTTGTATCTGTTATGTAAAATATACGTAACATTAAATAAACAGGTGTCTGACCAATAAGTGCCCGCATTGGGAATAAGTGCCCGCATTGAAAAAAAAAATAAGAGGGATAAAATTAAAAACAAGTGAAAAATAATAAAAAAAAGGTTTTGGACTTAAAATAGTACAATAAGCGAGTTCGTTTATTAATTATAACATAAACGTATGTTCTACAATAATTTCACTGTTAGTTTCATTAAATTCCGCTTCTTATACGTTTAAGTTATCTAAAAATAGGCAAACAACTAACGAATTTTAGTGTGTACCTATCCTTGAATTTTCAGAATAATTTAAAAAAAAAAATATTTTCTATAAAGGGGGGTTCTTTAAAAAAATCAATGCGGGCACTTATTCCCAATGCGGGCATTTATTGGTCAGACACCAATAAACATAAAATAAACTATAAATAAAATAACATAAGCAATAAGTCAATATTTTTAGTGAGAAGGATGAACCTGATGCTTTAATAATACATTATCAACATTTGGCGTCAATTTTGTAAGGTTTAATCTTAAATCTCCTCGGCTAATGATGTCCAGTCTGTTTCTTTTTTTCGTTAGGAGATTGGTAAGAGCGCTGAACACCCTTTCCACTAGGTATGACGATGGAAAAGAAATTTAAAATTTCCTCGCTATATTCCATCATACGGGATAAGTAACGGGTATGTTGTTTTGCAGCCAGAATTACTGATATCCGTTTTTAAACTGAACCTTCAGTGTCCAGAAATTCTAAAATAGTCTCAAAAAGTGCAAAAAATCTTGTCAAACATAAGCCTTTCGACAGCCAGCGTACTTCAGTGTGAAGGAGTAATTGATGAAAGTGTTCGTCATTTTCTTCACACAACTGCGCAAATAACCGCGTATTCAACGCGTTGCTTCGGATTCGGTTTACGGCATCAATGACTAAATGAAGTGATTCATGCAATCTAACACTCAAATTTTTAGCAACTAAATGTTGTCGATGGATGACGCAATGTATTGCTAACACCCCTGACACATTTTGTTTTAAATAGCTTATAAATCCACGATAACGTCCAACCATGGCAGGTGCTCCATCTGTAGCTACTGATATTATACTTGATAAAGGAATTGCTTTTTCAATGAAGTAATCCTTCAAAACATGAAATATTGATTCACCTTTAGTGTCGGTTATCAAAGTTCTTGCGAAGAGCAGTTCTTCGTAGATTTCTTGATTCATAATAAAACGAACATATGCCAATAATAATGCTGCATTATCAGGTAAAGTTGACTCGTCCAGTTGTATAGAGAAATGGGTCGTTTGCAAATGAAGGGTACAGGTCCATAAGGAGCTAAGTCGCCAAATGTTTATTTCGTACAAAACAGAGTTTAACTTTTAAAACTAGTAATTGATAAATTCTTGATGGTTATTATGAATTCTGTTAATTAGATTAGTTATTTGGGTAATTATTGAGACACACACAAGAAATTAAACTTATATTGTCATTTATACAAAGTAGAACATAAGCATTAATTGGTCAAACCATCAAACATTATTGGCCTAAAGGGGCCAAGTCCAAAAAAAACAAGGTATACCGAAAAGTAGACAATAGTTATTAATATAAAATATACTTCTAGTTCTTGGACAGGTTATCGAAAAATTGTTTTGCTTCGTCACCACAGAATCGTTTTAAATCTTGTAGGTGTTTAAATTTTTTAGCCGTGATGGGTATCAAACCTAAAAATAATTTTGTTGTTTAAAAAAAATAGTATTTCAAGACATAAGTATTTTTTATACCTGAATAAGAATACGGAGGAAGTACAAATTCATTTTGCAATAGAACAGGTCCCTTTCGCTTAGTCTCTTTTCCCTTCACTATTGCTGACTCCCATGCTCCATTATAGGGCTCCCGGTAATACATTAGTCTATGATGTTCTTGATGTATTTCTAATTCTCGAATAGGACGGGAACGGAAAGGACATTTCTTCAAATAATCCGTTTTGGTATTGAAAAAATTTGTCCATGCTCGAAAGTAGGATTGATCTATTTCCACAACGTCAAATAGTGATGGTTTTGCACGAGCACTTCTAAAAATTTCTACCCAATCTGAAGGAATCTCGGCTCTTTGGTGGGAGTTTATTAAGCCCATATTTTTGTCCGGTTCCATGTAGGAATGCCCACGAATAGGAAAAGTAACTTTAACATAATCAAGTCTATGTGTATTGTGGACAATATAATGCCAAAAACGAAACATCGTGTAATTTTTATTTTGCCCTCCACACGAATATTTCAAGCGATCTTACTTGTAAATCGAGAAAATTCCATAAAAAGTCATTCAGCATTGAGCATACATCGTCGCTTCCCTTTTTGCCAAGCATAGACGTTCAGCTGACTCTTATAGTAAACATCGTTTGTTGTTGTGTTTGGGACACTGAGATTTTGTCCAAAATCCAGACAAATAGCTTCGTGAGTCACAGAGGTTCGACTTCGTTTCTTCGCAGCCCTTTTTCTACTGTAAAATACCTCAGCCTTTCTTTTGTGTACATCATTTTGTATTGTAATATGGCGTATTTCCTTTTGAAAGCGTTCTTTTTGAGCAATATCCATACTCTTTAAAACATCAGACTGAAGAGATTTTATTTTTATAAGAAACTGATCGCAAGAACAACATGTATCGGTCCTGGGATATCCAAAGGCTATGTTGAATTTTGTATTAAAGACTGTTCTGTACGACTCGTAAGATACTTTCATAGAAGGGTTCAACTCGCAAAACATTTTGAACATCTTTTTTATGTTTAAGTCTTCAGGTAAGAATAATTTTATACTATCCTTCACACTGTAGTGGCTTTTCCTGCCATTAAATGACTTTATATGTTCGTATATTGCTGCAAGAACGTGAGCATCAAATTTCCTAGGATGGGTTTTATTTTCTCCTCTTTTATCTTTTGGAGCGACTCCAGTCATTTTTAGTGAATTTTGTAGTATCTCTAATTTTTTTTTCTTTATTCCATGAACAGACATAAAAGCTTGTGTACAAATATTTATTTCCTGTAAGCTATTATCAGTTCTAAAACGTACCCTGTAAGAATATGCACTACTTCTCAAATTTGCTACGTCTTCATCTTTCCTATGCCTTCTTCGGCGAATGAGGAGTACCGTAATCAATCCACATAAGTAGGAGTACTGGTCATTAATAGAAGTCATTGCGTTAAAATTCTTGAGAATGGTTTTTCTTGCTTCTTCAGGTACATTTTGAAAACATTGTTTACGACAGTTACAGTTTGCACCTACCTCGTGGCTCTGCAGTCTAATCTTTTTCATGACATCTCTCATTCTGCCGTACTTTTTTCTCTTTTTTGATTCATTCTGTCTAGATACTACTTCACTCTCATTTCCGCTACTATTGTTCTCAGTATTCATTGTTATTTACTTTTAAATTACTTGAAAAACATTGAAAACACTAGCTACTCCGACTAATCTAACTCTAAACTGCGCGTATTAGATCGACATCTATCAGCTGTTTATATGGACTTTACCCTTTTAGGACCTGACTGATGCGGACTTGCCCCCTATTGGCGGTGTATGCGTAAATAAGAATTAGAATTTCACAGGCACTAAGCGCTTTTAGGACGTGTTCAAGTCGCTGACCACTTCTACGTTAAAATTGCTACAAGATGGCACCACTAGATCTATTTGTGTAAAATTACGACTTGCCCCCTTTTGGACCTGTACCCTTCAAATAATTACATAAGAAGCTTTCAATATCAGAACTCATTTCATCAATACGTCTTTCAACAGTATTGTTGCTTAAGGGGATTCTTTTAATGATATCAGATGCAGGTTTCTGTAAAACAGTTTTTAAAACTCTTCAACGGCTGGCAAAATTAACTTCTCTCCGATAGTATGCGGTTTTCCGGATTTTGCTATAAGTAACGAGATATTGTAAGACGCCCGCAAACCATCATCATTTCTTTGTGACGTCGAACCGAACATTCTGTCCAGTGTAGGTCTGTTCTGAAATTTATCTTTGAGTGTTTGAAAGTATTTCAAATCTTTCTCTGTTTATCAGGGTGGCATCTTCTCAGATGATCTTGCAGTTTAGATGGTTTCATAGCGTCATTGCCCAAAACTTTGTTGCATAAAAGGCACATAGGCGATTGTTTGTCCGGCAATGATGGAATGAAGCCAAATTTCAAATAATCAACACTGTACTGTCTACATTTCTTTTTAGATTCGGACATGGCATCAGTCATCTGTGGGCAAAATTAAATTATTTAAATAAGACAGAAAATCCAGCAGCTGTATATTAAAAATATTTTTTGATTTTTCCGAAAACATTCCATAATTCGAACATCTTGCAACAATTAGCTCGAATTACGGAGATTGCACTGTAATTATATTACCGATTGCTAAAACTTTCAAAAAGAAACTATTGAGGAGTACTCGTGTAATTTTGCATGATTGAATATTTAACTACTAATAATTAAAGTCATGATTGGCGTAATTTATCTATCTTTGCTAACTGCGAGTACAAAACTAAAATTTAATAAAAAATAATGTACTTACTTTTCTCCAGCACTCTCAAAAAAAATAACAACAACAATAATTTGTGTGATATACTATCTGTTTATATTTTTCAAAATATTTTCTTAGCACTTTCCTTTTCAAAATTCAGGAAACGAATAAACGTATTTGTCCCACATTCGTATTTATAGAGTGACGAATTGAACAAGTCAGTGCAAGGTAGCGAAGCTCTGAGACTGCGACTCTCAGGTTTTTACAACTTCAAAATGTATTGCGCCCACAAAGCGAATACCAACATCCTACAACTTACACAATTTTATAAACATATATAATACATTTTTTACTTCATAGGTACTTTTATAAATAATGTACGTATATATGCTTTGATATTATAAGATAGTATGATGTAAGTAAATAGGTACTATCAGTGTATGTGTTGAGATCCACTATCGTGGACCCCCAAATTTTTTTTCGCTGACGTAGACCCCTTGCAGGTTGTCATAGACCCCAGGGGTTGCTGTAGACCACTTTGGGAATCAATGGTCTAACCGATCAATGATGTTGACTTAAAAAATGGATATAGCTAGTAGCTTGTTGCATTGTTCCACAATGCTAGGTGATTTTTTTTTATACTCCAACTACCACGAAGGCCTAAGGCCCAAGCACCCATTGAGTACCGTGGGGCTATAGGGGGATACATGGGAAAGGGGGAACGCCACACGGACTCTGGCGAGGTAACACGTGTGCATGCAACATGCACACTTTCCGGCTCCGCCTACGAGATCCGCCGGGCGGTACCTCCGCGTTCGACAGTCAGAGACCGTCTACCACCTACGGACAATCACAACATCCATAGCCAAGAGAAAAATTTCTCCTGGGACGGGACTCTAACCCGCACAGCGCACGGCGACTGATCAGGAGACAGAAGAGTCTACTACTGCAGCCACCGCTGCTGCCTAGCTATCATTCTGGATAGTATTGAGAGAACACCATGTCTCGCTTGGGTATTCCAAGGCGCTGGGAATACAGAAGAACGTCTTTTCCGAAGTAGTATGGCAACTTAGGGCATCTCAGCCAGCCAGAGTCGAAGGACTATTTATATTTCTTTATCGAAGCAACATAAGGTCGGGACGAAACCGGCTTGGATCTCGCATGTAAACGCTAGAAGAGCAGTTCCTGATGCATACTCTGCATGCCGCTGTGAGACCCTGGGACATTATGGGCTAACAATATCGAAGTCCAGCACTTTGAATCCTCAGGACATTAAGTACCTGGGACCTAAGATCACCCTTTGACATCAGGACGAGCCTAAGACATACGGAAATGTAAAAAAACTTTATGGATTGCATGTGCAGTTTTCTCATCTTTGAGGACTTAGTGACCCGTATTTGTTTTAGATTGAAACTGTAATCACCATAATCGGCATAGAAAAAAACATCTTTATTGTGAGCAAGCCTGCATGGAACTAAAGACTGCTTGCACCAAGATAATGGATGCAATGAATATCACCAACGGCTGGGTCATGTCGTTAGTGAAAACTGATCATCTCTGTACGCCTGATAAGAGCTTATCTGGCATATATGTTCCGTGTCCCTTACTAGTAAAATGATTAAATTTTCAGCTTGATTCGTCAACTGACTGCAGAAACTGCAAAATTATTAAATAAGTAAATAGAAAATTGTTGAAGGAATAATGGGTAGGATCTGAAGGAGCAACAGCGTATATGTATAGGTAAGCTGTCCTTTCGGAATCTAGAGATGGCTTTTTGCGAGTATACCAAGCGCAGATATTCACCATTGTAATGATTGGATCCTCAGTGAAGCCATAGCCTAGAAGCCCTGAGGACAGTGACACCTTTAAGAACGAGACAAACTTTAGTCCTTTATTGCCCTTCAGGATTTACGCTTCCTGGCATAGTGAAGTGTCGAATAACTGGGATAGCCAAACGTTCTGGCAAAGCCAGAGCTTAAGTTTTCCTACCAGTACCTGCCAGGACAATAGTACTATATAGGGAACTGGAACAAGCATAGGGATAGCGACAGAGAGCGATAATATGACGGCTTTATGGCAACAGTTTAAAAATAAGCTTGCTGGAGATTACAGTGGAGAGCATTCATACTCAATATGTCGTACCCTCCCTATGTACTTCAGGGTGCAGAATCTAAATCTCGGCACAGATTCCGCCTTAAGTAGCTAGTTTTCCTACAGTATTCCAGTATTTTTCGGCTTTCAGCCATCAACGTCGTTCAGCCAGTCGCTACTTAAAATCGAAGCAAAAGTCTGAGTTCGTAACTACGAACACAACTGTGTTCGTAGAATTTCACCAGGTGAGATAAAGTTCCTTGCGGTACTCCATGGGGTACAGGATGTTGGTATTGGCACATATTCCGCCTCAGGTAGCTACTTTTCCTGGAGCATTCCGGTGCTTTTCGGCTTTCAGCCATCACCATCGGTCAGCCAGTCTCTCTACTTAAAATCGAAAGCATGTCAAAAGTCTGAGCTCGTAAATGTTGCCTGCTCCGGGAAGTAGTAGTCGAAAGGTGAGGGGGTAGTGTTGCAGAGTAGCGAGGGGGCAGAGGGGTGTCGCTGTCGGGAAGATGAAAGCCGTTTCGTGTTGGAAAGTGTCCGCCTCGGTCAAGATGTCAGCCGGAGCCGAGGAGATGCTTTTAAAACACACTTAGGTGCCGGGCTACGATGCTTCCAGGGAGGGTAGGGGTGGGTGAGTGTGGGGGTGGAGACCCACCCTCCTAAAAGCATCCCCGGTAATCCTTTCGAGCGACATACACAGCACGGGATGCGCTGTTGATGGAAAAACTTCGTTTCAATTAGGGAGGACGGGATGGTGATTTCTAATGTCAGTGAATTGCTGATGGTACTGAAAGTACATTTTTGTTCAGGGGTGCACAAGCTGTAAAGAATCCAAATAACGCATCATTACCTAACTGTCGTATATTAAAAATTTGCTTTTTTGCATCGTGTTTATGGACAATTTTCAGAAGAATTTATGGAACAAAAAGCCATCTGATGGTAAAAATAGACACTACAAGAATTATACAAAAGCAAAATACCAAATCAAAACATATTTCAGTGGTAGCCTTTTTGATATACAGTGAAAGCTCCCATAAGCGGACACTCACGGTTTCGTAACTTTTGTCCGCTTATGGGAGGTGTCCGTTTAAAAGAGAGTATGTAAGTATAGAGTATAAATAACGGGGTATATAATCATGAGGAAATGAGGTATTATAATCATGAGAAAAATGAAACAGAAACTCGCCACATTTTTAAAGTATGTATTTATGCTATATATCTATATAATATATGTACATATACGGATACAAAAACATAAATGCTTCAATACATGGTACGAGAATTTAAAAAAAACATTATTCTTTAGCTTGTTGAAAAAAGTTTAAAATGTTTGTCTGACGAAATTTCACCATCTTTTGCTGAAGGAGACAATTTTCGTAATAACTTTCTAAATTTTTCAAATGTTGAAATGCAGTGAAATCATCTTTAGCAAATATTTTCAATATAGAAATATGATTTAGAGCTTCCCCATATGAATTTATCGTTTTTGAACCGCTTAGTGAGTCCACCAGTTCCACTTCTTCTTCTGAGTCGTTTGGACTACCATATTCAAGTTGGCCTGGGCTTTCTACATCCAAATTCGAAAAGTTGCCAATGGCATTTTCTTCTGTTGTTATGTTATTGTCTATGGCCAGGAAATCATCTACTTTCTGGGGATCTGCTACTCCTAAATGTTTGGCATGTCGCAGTACCTGAGCAAGTGTCGCTAAGGGCAGATCGTCTTCAGCATCGCAATAATTTTGCTCTGCAAATTCTGAGCTACATTCACTTTTTCTGAATCCAGCTTTGCCAAAACAGTTTTTAATTGTAGAGGAATTTACTTTATTCCATGCTGTTTTTATAAAATACAAAGCTTCTAACACATTGATAGACTTTGTAAGCTCAGATAAGCTTTGACCATCGTCAATTTTTGTTAAAATATGTTTTAAAATCAAGTGCCGATAATAAAATTTAAAGTTCTGTATGACACCTTGATCCATGGGCTGACAAACAGAAGTTGTGTTTGGCGGTAAAAATATAATTTTCACATTTTTCATTTTCATATCACGAGGATGAGAGCATGCATTGTCTAAAAATAAAAGAACTTGCCTTTTTTGGATTCTCATTTTCCGGTCGAATTCGACTAACCACTCAGACATTATTTCTCGGGTCATCCATGCCTTTTTGTTGGATTTCCAAGTCGCTGGTAGATCCTTAATAGCAACGTTTTTTAAAGCACGGGGACGAGCCGCTTTCCCGATCACAATCAAATCGCATTTTTCACCGGCCATATTTGCACAGAATGAAATGGTTAGTCTATCTTTAGACAACTTTCCACCCACACATGTTTCTCCTTTAAAGGACAGAGTTTTGTCGGGCAATGCGCGAAAAAAAAGTCCACT